GGGAAGCAGCAAAACGGTGCATGTGATGATCAATACGCGGAAGCTTTTGCGTCGAATTCGAACGGGCGCGTTCGTTGTGCGTTGTTGATTTAGTAATATAGCGAGTGCTGTTAGATTATAAATATACCGTAATCAATAATGTGGGCTGGCTTGTCAACTTAATAGACTCGTTGCTTGTGTAGACATTCATCTGAGCTAGTTTTTTCCTAATCTTTATAATTTGCTAATGAAATAAAGATAATGGCTTATTGACGAGCCGAGGGACCAAGCGACGGGTCGGAGTGCCAAATGCAAGTCCGATAGAGCAAACTGGAATTGGAGATGGAACACAAGAATTTGATGATCTACTTTTGGAGGCCTCGACCATATTAACCTCTTGTCTAGCACCACGGACAGCGACCATGAACAGGTTACGCAGGAAAGCGTGCGTGGCTCTTTTAGTGTTCACTTTGTTCATTTTTGGCACTATGATGGGCCTACGAACCCTCAAACCCACTGATGGCTTTTCGGATCTTGCTCCAGGAATGGAGTTGATGCCTTTGGTTGGAGAGCGACTGGACCAGAGACCCAATAATGTAGTTGAATCAGCAGGTCAAAATGGAGGTGGGGGGAGTGACACTAAGATAGTGTTTTCCAGCTCGGGTCCTGACCACAGCATATTCTATGACATTCACATCTTCTATTATTTATGGTATGGCTCGCCACCGATGGATGCTGGTTATATACATTGGGACCATGTGCTGGTACCACACTGGGACCCCAAAATAGCTGCCAGTCACCCGAAAGGACGACACAATCCTCCAGACGACATTGCGTCCAGTTATTACCCTGAACAGGGACCCTACAGCTCCAGAGATCCAGATGTCATTGAATCCCACATGGCGCAAATCGAAGCTGCAGCCACAGGTTTTACAGCCAAGAGACAATTTCAGCTCATTTATATTATTTAACATTTATGATATTTGTTTTTATTTGACAATTTTTGTGCAGTGTGGATGGTTTATCATATAAAGACTAAAATAGACGTATTGTTGCTTGAACGATGCCAGGTGTGGTGGTCCTGTCCTGGTACCCGCCTGACGTGGCAGATGAACATGGCAAACCCTCAGAGGATCTGGTGCCAGCTGTAATGGACGCTGCCCATAGACACAGTATCAAGGTAACTGGTGAGAGATCCATAAAACTTATCAAACTTACACTTTGTTTATGAATTTTTTTTAACACTGTACAGCATGTATCCTTGAAATTAAGGACAACTTTGTACCTTATCTCCCCCTAAAACATGCATATTAGTACCTGAGAGCATGTGTTCCTAAACATTGGTGTTCGCTGCCTTGAAGCCCTTAGTACTTGAAGTACCCCCCTCAGATTTCAAGTATTATTTCTGTAATTTAACAACACAGATATGCATTTTCAAAGTTCTCTGATCTTGTCAGTTAATAATCGCATAACATGCAAGTAAACTGACAAAAGTACTCTTTTTATTTTTAAAGTTTTTAGTTTAGGAAAATTTGTCATATTGATACTGCTGAGAAATCCAGACAAAGAATAGGCCTACTGTTAATAGTTATTTTAAAGGGCATTCAAACTTGGGTTTCGCTCTTGTTCTTTCTCCAGAGTGAATAGATAAATAACTCCTACTGACGCCATATGCCCGTGACTCTACATTTACTGAACAGCATTCAACTCTCAAGGTGCTTCATGCTAAAGGGTCCGTGCTACAACATGAGTTAGATAGCTTTCACATTGTCACACCCTTCCTTTTTTTCGTATTTGTATCTCTATATAAGTTCAAGCGTGTATGAATGTTTGTTTTTTTGCTGCTGTGTTGGTTGTACTCTCACTTGATGACCTGGTTTCAGATTGTTCATGTCTTTTGCGTATCTGTTGTAGTAAGTTTCCTGTCATCTTTGTGATCATTTAATCCCAGGCCTTGTCTTGCATCTACCACTTTTGGTGTCAACAGACTGGTGTGTATTTAGAGGAGTGTGCGTGTCTCCTGCTTAAAGGGATAGTTAACTTTGAAATTAATTTTTGATATGTTTTATCTTACCTCAAGGGCATCCAAGATGTAGGCGTCTTTGTTTCCACAGTATTTTCAACTTTGATATTTTTAGCTCAAACCGTTGTTGTCTGTCAAGTCATATAATGGAGGTCTATGGTCACCACCTCAAAGAGCAGCACAGAGAAGTCCAAATTAAACATGATTTAATGACTCGTAAATGTAAGTACACACTGATGGCCTAAGACACGAAACGAGCAGTTTGTGTGAGAAAACGAACAGTATTATATCGTTTTTACCTCGCGTAACCACAGCCACGTCCAACTGATCTGAGGGCGCGGGCGCTTCAGTCTGCACAAGCGCTGGAAGTGATCTCTCCTGCGGTTGCAAAAACAATTCAACATCGTCTGTTGATAAATCGAAATGGTCTTCCATTACGATTTCCTGTATATCTAAATATGTTTAGATCTTCACAGTGAAAGGGAACGCTTCTGAAATCTTTTACCATGTCAGATCGCAAGCTTTTAATTCGGTGGAACATTAGTCAAATGTTGTAAACTTTGGTCCACAAAATTGTTGGAAATTATGCAAATGTGAATGTAAAGAAAGTTAACTATATAATCTGATTATCCGATTAATTATAAATGAGTATAAACTGGTATAACTGAGCTTCTAATTATTTGGTTATGTCAATTCAGCAGCCATAACCTAATATCTCAAGTCTGTACATGTTATTCCAAAGAAAATCCACATCTGAAAGTACTTTCTTTTTTGACTTGCATTGTCTAGGTTGGAAATCACGTTATCCTCTAGCTATGTAGGCATCCTTTAAAGGAATAGGGCGTAACTGTAATCCACTGACGGTCACTGCTGTAATACAGGCTTTCTAAAATCTTGCCAACAGTAATATTATAAGTTAAGGCAGTAATAGCAAATAACAATAGATTTGAAAAATGATTCAGCGAAAATAAGTGTTATCATTGCAATATGAAGGGTGACTCGGAAGGGTGAACATGACTTTGCCCTATATTAGAAGAATTGTTCATGCTTTTTTTTGGATGAGTCACTTATTATAATTGATTGAGCTTGCTAGTGGTTGCATAAGGCTCTATCTTGACTGCCTTGAGCTGTGTTTACCATCTATTCCTGATGAGCCGTTGCTGAGCCGTGTTTTGTAATCCCCTGGTGTGAAGAGAAGCGAGTCCGTAACACCGTGCCTCTGATTATAGTCATGTTGGTGTCCTTCTGTCTTGGTGATTTGGAAGGTAATTCTGTCCCAGTGTGGTCAGTGAATGAGTTGTGTTCTCCCCTGTGGCATGGGATTGTTGAATTTTAGCTGTAATATTGTGGATTTGAGTTTTAAAAACGGCTTCTTCAGTATGTCCTTTATCTGTACAGTAATGTGCAAGACAAAGACCTTGAATTTGGCACCTGCTCAACTGTTCAGTTTTGAGGAAATAAAGCGTTGCATTCTGTGGTGCATATGCCATTTTCATTCTTGAAATACACAAGGGGCTGTATTACAAGCCAATGGCAAAATCTTTGAACAAAATCTTTGAATTCAAATCTTTGAAATCATTTGTACTCATTCATAATTGCTCCCGATGGCTATAGAGGCTGCTTGAGCAGTGGGGCGAATTGAAGTGTATCTCTTCATTGGATGTGCTTTGTTTCCCATCAGAATTGACAATGCTGGAGTATGGGCTTTATGTCTGATCACAATCCTCACCACCCCACTGATGTCTGTAGCTGCAGTCCTTACAGCCACAAAAGAGCTAAAGCTCGGCCAGTCATGCACTGAAACAGTTCGAGAGACTGTTAGGCCTCCTGACAGCAGCGTCCAATGTGATCCCCTTTGGCCTGCTGTACAGGAGACCTTTGCAGTGGTGGCTCAGGACCAGAGGGTTCTAACCCACTTTGTATGATCAAGATAATGTGGCCGGTGTCTCCTCGGTTATATGGAGGAAACACTGGTTCTTGACCCAGGGTCCGGTGTTGGGAGTTGCGATCTCGACAGATGATTCCCTCACCGGCTGGAGAGCTCAGGGTCTGTGGAGGACTCATCATCTCTCTTGGCACATAAATTGCCTGGAGATGAAGACCATCTTCAATGCGTTGAGATCAACATTTGTACTTCATTATCTCATGAACATTTCATGTTTAAAACAGTCCGTAAAGAGACCTTTCCTTGGCTGTAAGATTATAGGATGACACCTGATTTGCATAATGTGTTCCATTTTTGCAAATTCATAATTCAGCTGAATTGTGAATGTTTTCCTGCCATATATTTGTTGTTTTAACTTGAATATAATTATAATGTGGCCTTCATTATGTAATGAATGAATAGTTAATAGCCCCTTTCACACAGCGCGTTGATCTCGGGAAATTGCCAGAACGCCTTCTGTGTGAACGCAAACACGACCCGGGATTGATGGCTGGACCGATGCCGGGTTGGGGACATAGTAACATTGCCGGGATCAGTCCAGGAACGAGCGCTGTGAACAAAAGCCAGGACCAATGCCGTAGGGGGCGTGTCATAGTGATGTCGCTCGTGCCATCGCGCGACTCTGTTGCTCTCAGAAGAAAGTGTGTGTTCGTCATCAACAAAGAAACGAACTGATGTCTGCAAACCGGAGCGAAGCAGAGACCAGGAGCTCGTCTCTATCCGCGCTGAAGCGGAGATCGTTCACCAGCTGTGGATCGGTGTGAGCGTGTACATGTTTTCCACGCGTCCGTTACACGTCTCGTCCTGACGTCATGCGTGTTTCCGGGATCTTTACGGGTTGTGTGTGAGTGAACGCACTCACAGATCCCGGCAAATCACTGACAGTGTGAATGAACCCAAATCAAACAATGCCGGCTCACATTATCCGTGTATTTTCCAGAATCTCTGCTAATGAGTGAACAATTGATGAGAAATACAGTAATGCCACAGTCCTTTTTTATGCATCTTGTGCATCATGGTGAGTTGTCATGAAGAATATTGACAGAAGCTTTTTTCTGACAACTCTGCCATTACAAGTCATTACCACAACAGTCGGTCACAGAAGAACGGGCAACACTTCAGGTGTAGAGCACCCGTGATTTAAATAGTCAGCAACCTCGTTCTCCAGACGGTTTGAGTGGAACGGTTGTACTGCACATGTTCTCATCCGAAGTGTGTGATGTCAAACCGTCACTGGCGGCCTGAGCTGTGTCGCCAAATGCAGGTTGTTATGGAAACAGCTCACGGAGACCTTCCAGGTTGGCCGTGTGGGAAAGTGGTGGGTGTTTGTGCTTTCCAGGCCCTGAGGGTTCAGCAGTTCGATCATCCATGTGCATGTTGCTGTCACTGAAGTGGAGAGGGTCCGTCTCAGTGGAGTGCTCAACACGACGCCTCTGTGTCTTAAGTTATGTTTCTGGGACTTTAAAACATCATCTGACAGCCCCCTTATAAAGGTGTTGCAGTACAATAGAGCAATATGTTCAGTAACTGTTCCAAAGCGACTCATATTGCATTAATATTTAGCAGTGCTAACACCATGCTCTTGAGCTACAGGAAGGCTGTATCATGCTCAAAATGATTTGTTACATTTATCCGGGTACTAAAGGGTACTGCCAATCTCATCGCGACGGCAGCCATATTGCGCCAGGACGTCCGCCATTCACCAGCTTATTGATGGGAAGGAGACAGAGTGGGTTGAACCCCATACTCGTTTTCGGAGGACATCCTGGGATTTTTAATGACCACAGCGAGTTAGGACCTCGGTTTAACGTCTCATCCAAAGGACAGTGCTTTTTGCCAGTGTAGTGTCCCCATCACTGGGGCGTTAGGGCACACAGGGTGAGCTGAGCACCCCCTATTGGCCTCACCTCCCATCCGGGTACTGACCATGCTTAACCCTGCTTGGCTTCAGTGGGCTTTTAACTGGTTTGGCACAGTTCAGGGGGACGCCTTGGATACCCGGCTATCTAAGGCCCTGATTGGGGGTGACAGTGGTGATTTGGGGGTGCAGTTAAATCCTGCAGAGTGAGTTCAATAAAAGTGTGTGATGAGCGGCTCACAGTCAGCTGTATTATTAAAAGAGTCTGCTTGCATGTAGCATTAAGCCGCCTTCATGGACACAATCGCGGTTCTCTCTGCTGCACGTAATAGCAACTCATTCTGTTTCTGTCTGTGTGTGTTTGTGGTGCCCTAAAAACGAACACAAATGCACCAGTGTTTGATAGAGTAAAGTGAGAGTATATAACACTGCAGGGTGTGCCGCCGGGATCATTCTAGCAAATCATTGAGACGCACACCAGCATAAAATGTGCCCTGCCGCACTTGTTTTGATATTTTGCATCTAATGCACGTCATTCATTCTCACATTTTTAGTGTACCTTACTGTCCACATACGTTTTTTTGTTGCATTTCACTGTATCATTATCAAGATATGTATTAGTTTATTACAGGCAGATGTTGGCTGTATGTTTGAATTACACATTTAGATACTGCTAGGGATTTATTTTCTTCCTTATTTTATTAAATCCAATTCTTTACAGGTTGCGTTTCACCTGCAGCCCTACAAAGGCCGGACAGACCTCAGTGTGCATGACAACATCAAATACATCATTGACAAGTAAGTTGAGAGAGTTCCTGTCTGCTAACCTGAAGGTGTAGCCCTTCTCCATCCTGATGAGCAGTGGCGCAAAAAGTGGGTATGCGCTATATGCGGCGCATAGGGGCGCAGCACAATGGGGGGCGCCAAAGCGATGGTAAAAAAAAAAAAAAAAAAAAAAAAAAAAAAATTATATATATGGCTATAACGGCAGCTATTTCTATATGTAGCTGCCGTTGTGCGTTTCTAAATGATTTCTGCATTCCTTCATGTTATTATAAAATTTTAGAAGGACTAACAGCCAGGCTAGAGTAGGCGCCCTCATGGAGAAGAGGGGCGGGTAAATATCGCGAGCGGGCGGGGGCGCGCGTGAGCTCTGAGCGAGTAGGTACGAGTAGTTAGTTGTCGTCGAAAAAGATGGATAAAACAAAATGCTGTGGTGCTCAAAATAGAAAAAGACAGAGAGAAAAGGAGATGGCATGTCAATTGATGCGACAGCAGCTAAATAACTGCATGCATTGCTGAAATCCAACAGGTAGGATTTAAAATGTGACATCCAGGCATGGCTATCTATATCTCGGGGGCCATCGGGACTACCGGGAGATTCCCGCTGGGCCGACGTGCTTTTCAGACAATAGATTTCATCCTTTTTTAATTTATTTGTCTTAACGCCCACAAAAACTCATACAATCGGCGGCCCATTTGTTTGTTTGTTGTTTGTTTTTGTTTTGTTTTTTTGCTTAATTGGCGGCGCTGTGCTGGTGTAATGCATTAGTCCAAAAAAAACAGCTTCAAGTTTTTTTTTCTGACACACTGGCCTATGAAATATGTCATTATGCGCAAGTATCTTTCAAGTATAGAAATTAGTGCAAAACTAAATTATGAAAGTTTCCTTTATTTTTCTGTGCATTTGTTTTACAATAGCCTTTATGGCAAATTACTATCATGGGATTAATATAATAACTATTATTTTGTAGTAGTGTAATTTAGACAGACACTAACTAAAAGAGGATCAAAAATTTTCTCTGTTTAATTTGCACCCTGAATATGGGTTTGGAGCTTTTAAATTTTGAACTCTCAAAGTGCACCAGACTGCTGAATTTAACATTACAGAAACACAAATTTTCTTACGGGGGAGCATGCCCCCCGAACCCCCCTAGAGAAACAGAGGTCCACCTACCACAGTTTTACCTAAAATCCTGTGAGAAACACTGCTATTGCTGTTACAATGGAGCTTATAGTTTTCTTAGGGGGGGATCATCAAGGTGGAGTAGTTATAGTTTAATTGTGTTAATAAACGACAATTTTGCACTTATTTTTTTCTGTTAGCTCTCATTTCTTCCTATTCACTTATTACACAGCACACTTACTTTTATTTATTTATTTGTTTATTTTTTTTTTTTTTGGGGGGGGGGGGGGGGGCTAAAATTGTTTGTTGCATACCCCTCTGAAACTGGGTAGTTGCGCCCCTGCTGATGAGGCTTGTTGACCTCTGGAGATGGAGATGGAATCCAATCCAGCCTGGCCAAAGGAAAAAGAGAGCAGTGTTTTAAAAATAGAGGACTTTTCTTACATTAATCATTCATGAAACAGAACGTATAACATTACCTGATGCAATAGCGGCTAACCCACTTGTGTTCAAGAGCCTGTAACAATGGCTGCAGTCTGTAAAACAATCCACTGACTGGATCATGGATCATATTTCTTTATTTCTTTTTTTAGCGGACATGGTATAAAGATATTTAACCATGATGTGTTCTCCTCTGACAACAGGAATACTTTAGAAAGAAAGACATTATGTAAAACTGATTTAGGTGTAGGTTTACATGGTCTAAGTATACGGTAATACAGACAGCTTATAACCATGTGTTCTGAGATACTCACCTTTAGAACAAGCACACACAACATCCCTTTTTTACAATGTTGGAGTCAGGTTATTTTGTTTTTTTAGAAAATCATACCTGCAAACTTGTCGCTTTTCGGTGCCAAATCGCCAGTGATAGAGCGGTCATCGCAAACACTCTCGCTGAGCAAACTCCCTCCTTTACTCTGAGGAGTTTGCAGGTACAAATGTAAAATAAAATGTACAAACAAAACCAACACAGTATTTTTGATTACCAAAAATGATCATTATCATTCATGAACCCATGAATGCAAAAAAATTAAATAAAAATCAGCATCTTTTAGAAAACGTACATTTTACTAATACATATTTCTAAAAGAAAATGTTTTGGAAAGGATTGTGAAAATACTTATAAAATAGCATTAGAACTAACTAACAATTACAATGAGCAAGACATTTGTTACAATATTTATTCGTCTTTGTTATAATTATTTAATAAAAATACAACTACTTAATGTTAGTTCATGTTAGCTTCATTAAATGAATATTAAAATCAATTTAACAAATTGACAAGTAAATGTTCAAATTAACGTTTAACTAAGGATAACGGGATAGATGTCACGATTTACTCCCCCTCACGCCTTTCTAAATATGTATGGCTTTACTTTATTCTGTGGAAAGTAATGGAAGATGTTTTGAGAGGAACCTCAGTGTGTTGTTCATACAGTGGCAGTCAATGGTGACCAAAACTGTTCCAAGAATATCTTCTTTTGCGTTCCACAGAGGAAAGAAACGGGTAAATCTTTACAATAAGGCTCCATCAATTAACATTGGTTTATACATTTGGTAATATTAATTAATATAAAACTGAGTTAATTTGTGCATTTGCACAATTAGTTATATTAACTAATTTCAGTATATGCAACCTAATATGCTTAAAAAAACTGTCGATTAAACATGTTTTGTTTGTTATTAGTTGATGAGACCTAATGCATAATGGTAATTAATTGAGCTTTTTTAGTGTTGCCAATAAATGCAATATTTTTATGTAAAACAAATATTATTTAAATAGCAAATACAGTGTGTATGTGTACTTGGCTCCACACTGAGCTGATGATAAAGAAACTAACTGAAATGTCTCTACAGATATGGGCATCACGGGGCTTTCTACAGGTTTAAGTCCAGCACTGGGAAGGTCCTTCCACTGTTTTACGTGTACGATTCGTACCTGATGCCGCCCGAGACCTGGGCTGAGCTGCTGACCGTCAGAGGATCGCACAGTCTCCGAGGAACTCCTTACGACGGCGTCTTCATCGGCCTCATTGTGGAGGAGCGCCACAAGCAGGAGATCCAGGCTGGGGGCTTCGACGGCATGTACACCTACTTCGCTTCCAATGGCTTTTCCTTTGGATCTTCTCACCAGAACTGGAAAGCAATCAAAGCTTTCTGCGACAAGAACAACTTACTGTTTGTACCTAGCGCTGGGCCGGGCTACATGGACACCGCAGTTCGGCCGTGGAACAACCACAACACCCGCAACAGAGTGAACGGACGATATTACGAGACCTCTTTGCAGGCGGCGATATCGGTAAGGCCTGACATCATCACCATCACCTCGTTTAACGAGTGGCACGAAGGAACTCAGATCGAGAGGGCCGTGCCCAAGAAGACTGTGGCCCGTCTGTATTTGGACTACAAACCCCATCAGCCAGAGCATTACCTGGAGCTCACCAGGAAGTGGGCGGAACATTTCAGTAAGGAGAAAGAGCAGTGGCTCATGTGACCTCGTGACTTCTTACCAACGTTGACTTCTGTGTTTAGATTGTTTAACACTAACGTTGTCGATTGTGATCCTTCAATTTATGCATACATTTGAATGGCAGCTAACTAGAAAGGACAAGCCACCTTCTTGCTCGCATTTGATTCATTGATAAACGATTGATTTACTGTAAGCCGTCCTGCTTCGGATGGTGTAAGTTAGCCATCGGCCATCACCAGCCATCATGGGGTTAGCCCCCGAGTCACGAAAGGCTTGTTTACGCCGGGTCACTCAGAGCTGCAATTGAACAAAAGAATAATGTGTTCTGAACACAAAGCGCGTGCACAATTTATATGGTATGATTTAAGGGTTTTGTCATTTTTGGAGCTCCGCAGCATCCATCTGCATTCCCTATCATTGGATGGAGAGGGAGACGATGATGATGATGATGATGATATTCCTCTTCCTGTATTCCACAGAAGAAAAGAAGAAATCTTATTGTTTGGAATTAAACGATGCCGAGTGAAATTGCAGTTTTAGCTATTCCTGTAACATCAGGCCTTGAACTGACTGACTTCTGCAGCAAAAGTGTGGCCTGGGTATTTGAAGACTGGACCTTTTATTGTGTGTTTGGACGACAGATAACACTGATTGGTGATTGTGGTTATGGTTTGTTTGGATAATGGCTGGGTTTATTACGTTCTGTAAATCCTATTAATTATGCATATTGTAATCCATGTTTAATATTAAACTGAAAGAAATGATTATTTTGCCAAGTAATACAGAGTATAAAGAAATTGAACAGAATGCATGTGTAAATCAATTCTTATGCAAATTTCACATTTAAGCCAATGTCTCAATTTAAATAAGAGCAATTGCTAATTTTTGTCTTGAGGCATTGCCCAATATTAATATTTATGGAAAATTGACTAGAATTACCTTTAAATTAGCAATGATGTGCCGTGTAGATGAGAGACTAACTGAGTTTATCCCTGTCGGACAGAGCACAGCATTGGCTTTCCTGGATCCAGCTTGGACGGTGTTGTACAGTATGATGAATAACAATTAGTGTCTGGGTAGATGTTGCTTTGTGTTGAGCTAATGTTAGCCAGTGCTGTTACAGCGATTTATGACCGTCAGCCCGGCACAAAGCAACACTTAAAACAGACACACACACACACACACACACACACACTTCAGCTGCGTTGCGTAACCAGAGGACGAACTGCACCACGCCAAACACAATCAGCAGCATTATGCTGAAATAGCCACAGAAGAAAAAAACAGAGACTTTTATGCAATAACCTGAATAAGCACAAATAGTTCCACTCTGTGGGTGTATTCTGCTATCGAGGTGGTCGCCAGATAGTTAGGATGTTAATATCCTTTCTTGTGTTCTTGCGGGGGGAAGTTAGATGCAATTAAACCATATACTTATAAACAACATTTAAAAAAAAAAATTGAGTAAACTCTGAAAATAAATCGATTAATCATGGTTTAAGGGCAACCATGTCGAAGATTAGCTGATGGGCAAATTTTCCAACAAGAGCAGTTTATTCGGCGTAGTGAAGCCTCTTTTTCATTGCATCATCGATTAAAATAAATGACCTCTGATTTCCTTCCCTGCGTCCCATTAGTGCTAGCTGGCTTTTTTTAATTTAATTTTATCTTTTCAGGTTTGCCTTCAAGTGGCTTTGTGTGTCGGCATCAATCAGTAACTAAGGAAACAGGACCAAGAGACGCATGAATACTAACATAACACGGTGGAATTAATGTCCAAATAAAAGCCCTTGAAACCAAACTCGTGACACTTTTGGATAAGCTATATCTGTTTAAGAAACCCAAGATAACATTTTATTTCAATATTAGGCTACATTTAAATTATGCAAACCTAACATTAACCCCTATAGATACATATAGATAATTGTTATTAATATTATTGTGTAATTACACTGTAAAAATGTCACCTTAAAACAAAGGGTTACACTTTATGTTGTTTAATGTACATGTAACATATGTAACAAGGACACTGTAAAATAAAGTGTAACCCTCAATGATAAAAATTCCTGATATAAAACAACCCAAGTGCACTGTGAGAGCAACATCTATTGTGATGCTGATGCCCAGAGGCACTCGTTCCCAGTCCGTTTCTGGCCCATTTGGGTGGAATGACACGATTAGTTGACTGTCTCCCACATCATCTCTTCCCTGCTGATATAACCAGCTCACAACATGCACAAAATAGTGTCCAACCTAATCATAATTGTGGGCAATCTTTTTCCTCGGGTGACAAGCCTGTGCTCGTAGCCTTCCATCAACAATACTCAGCGAGACTGAAAAACGGCACAGGGAACAGAGCATGACATGCCACACAAACAGAGACACTTAAAGTGGTTTGAAATACAGCGAGCGCTTATTAAATTGAGGAGAACAAGAGGAGGATGGGACGACCTGTCATCACATCAGATCACAGGACCACAGCGTTCAGAATGATCATCATAATCATAATCGAGACGGCAGAATAACTGCGAACACTTTACAGTTCGGTCAGTTACAGTTGTTAATGCAACTAACAAAGAACAATAAGCAATATGCATTTGTTGCAGTATTTATTAATCTTGGTTAACATTATTCAATAAAAAAATACAACTGTTCAATGTTAATTCACGTTAACTCAGGTCCATTAAATAATATTAACATAGAGAACCATAGATTTTATGAATGTATAAGTAAACATTAACATAACATTTACTGAGATTAATAAAATAGTTAATGTTAACTATAATGTAGTTAACTAATGTTAACAAATGTAGCCTTTAGTTCAATAGTATAACAGTAAAAGGATCCCAAATATATTTAATTACTTTTTTTTCTATATTTAAAAGTCCCAATTGAGGCCCAAAATCACAAAGTGTGACAGATATATAAAAACAATACTGGCAAAAAGAAAGTTTCCTTAGATGCAGAAGGGGTTTGTGCATTTATTGAATATTTTGGACGAGATACCGTTGTTCTAAGGAGATCACGTGATACGGATGCTATCATTACACATACAGGACCTCTGATTGGGTGAAATGATTTTTGGAACATTATATAATCTGCTTTTTAGGAAGTATTTTGTTGATCTAAAAGATGATCCAGAGAAATGAGATGCACCTTAAATACTTGTCAATGGGATATCTGTTTTTTGCTTTATTATTATTATTATTATTATTATGTGGTATGGGGGATTGATGCAACAATGTAGAAAGAAATGTAGAACAAAAATGAAGTGGTATGAATTGTTTAATTTAATGACCGATAACTGCTGAATAAAAATAGAGTAAAACCACCAACTATTTGAGTCTTAATAAAGTCATGATTTTTTACAGAACATACTAAAATTTATTGATTAATGAAAAGTATGTCTCATGTTTAAGACACCAAATGAGACAATAGTGAATAATCAAAAAGTAATACAAATGTACAAATTATTTAAAAAAAAGACAAATCACATTTCTAACAAACTGGGAAAGACTAAAGTCGCCATACTTAGAGAAACATTTGTGTGTTCAATATTTACACAGTTATATGGTGTGCTGCAATAGGGCCTACAGCAGCCCCTGTCGTTTCAGATCCTCGTAGGTCTTCTTGTTGACCACGTTTCCACTGGAGTCTTCATATTCCTCCTGCAAGGCAATAAACACACAAATCATTCAATTAAACTAAACTGCAGTAATTTCAAAAACTTGACTAATCTTTCAACCTCCAAAAAAAAATGTTACTTTTTTTTATAATAATAATAATAAATCCCACAGCAAAAGCTGAGCGTAACATTAAACCTGACGCTCGAGGCAGAGCAGAACGTGTCTCTGTTGATCATAAAGTCTTCAGAAACTCACCTCAGTGTCGGGCTGCCATCGCTCCAGTGCTTTCTGTGACTTCAGCTTTGACCAGACTATTGCAGGAAAATACAAGGACCGATAACATTAGGGTCACTTTCCAAAACAATCCCATTTGTTTTTTATTAACATGCACAAATAATGATTTAACCAAATACTAACACCAATGATATTATAGGCATTTTTCTCAGCTCAAGTAGTTTGTCTTAAAATGCCCCTATAAAGGATTTTTGTAAATGACCTCTCATGTAAGGGTAGAAAAATTAATAATTTTTTAAACAAGTCACAAGTTGTTTCGTTGTGACATCAGAACGGTCCCCACATGCAAACCGAGGCATTGAGAACTTTGTAAGTGTGCGGACAGGTTAATAATAAGATACTTTATAAAGACAGTCCACTTCGCATATACAGGCAGGAGCCATCTTGGAAAACGGTCACGACCAGTCGATGTATGACAGCCGTGCTCATCGAGTTGAACTGTGATCTCTAATGGGCCTTTGTTTCTGGAAGAAAGCACTGAGCGCATAAGAGAAGCACTGAACGCAACAGAGAAAATAAGAAAATTGGTGTACCTGCGGACATTGTAAAGCTATGGACACCGAACAAGAGAGTGAGACCTACAGTAATAATTTCTGTATCTACAGGCCAATTTGAACTTTTAAATCCACTTCAAAACGGTTAAACTAAAGCTCAAAACCTAACAATATACAAAAGCATTCAGCAATTACCTATATTTCTACATTAATACAAAAGGGGAAGCTTAGGAATAATTCTCTACTGTAATAATAATAATAATACATTTTATTTAGAAAAGCGCCTTTCGAGGTACCCAAGAAAACTGTACAAAATTGGTGTAGTAAAGACCATACAAACAGTACACTACATAAACAGCACACTGTGAAATACACTACATAAACAGAGGTACACTGTGAAGTACACACTACATAATATGCCAAGATGGAGAGAGAATATAAACACCCTCAAATGGCATACATGAGTGCACTGAACAAGAGGTCAAGACAGTGCAAGCAAAACCAGCGGGCTGACCTTTACAGTCGATGGGGCCGACAAGTAAGATAAACTAAAAAAAAAAATGGTTACACTTGTACTTTGGAGAATCCCAAGTGGAATAATGTACGTAAGCACCGTAATGTAACCTTTGACCAAGAAACATACGGCAGTGAGTTATAAAGAGCAGACTGCTTTCACTCTTATTCTGTAAAGAAATTCGACAAAAGAAAACGCTGTATAACGCTGCCTGCTTTAAGAGTTTTATGAGTGTGTTTACTGGGGGGACCTTTGCCAGTGTTATGGAGCATGAGTGTATTTGAGACACGTATGCAGTGTTTTGGTGATTTTAGTGAATTTTGAATGTGAAATTAAAGCTGCGGTAGGTAACTTTTGTAAACAAATATTTTACACATAATTGTCAATCTGTCCTGCTAGTAGAATATGAGACAGATAATCTGTGAAACAATCAAGCTCCTCCCAGTGGAAACACACCGCTCCCTGTCAGGAACAACCAATCAGAGCCAGGGGGAGTGTCTTAGCAGTGTCAATCACACTCATGTATGAGATGATCACAGCCCTCTCTTGCACAGCGGGCGCCGTATCGTTCATCAAACCAAACTCAAGATAGCCGTTGTGCTGCGGCGGAGAAACAACCTAAACTGGCAACTTACATAATGATTTGTGGACCAAGTCTGTAGTCAAAGTATAGGCTGGCCTAAGTCAATGTAAAGCATATTGTTGATGTTTCATTCCTACTGGTGAATATGTCACATAACTGGGTATCCGCCATCATCGGTGGCCGTGTTTAATAGCCTGAGCGTTCACGGCAGGCTCCGCTCGTTTATATGTTCAGACTAAGTCAACGTTTTCGATCCCTACTGGAGCTTTAACTGCTGTGCCAAGTGGAAAGTTGGT